CTCCTCTTCTCTCAGCTTCTTTAAAGACATAAAGACATAAAATAATACAATAATTATATCCATGTATTATTGAGTTTATAGAATCTCCAGTTTTAATATGTCTAACCATAATACCACAGAAAGGGAATGAGTTGACTTTGCTGATCCTGACTGGGCCCACATATCTAAGGCCTTCAAGGGACAACTAGGGTGACTTGGATCAGCTCAATAAGGTCTCTCATCCTTTAGCAGACTAGCTTATGCTTGTTGACAAACGGAAGTAGGTGTTTTAAGTGAGAATGAAAGAATACAGGGTTTCTTGAGGACCAGGCCCATTACTAGTTTACCATTACATTTTCACTTTATTACCCTAAGTAAATGGAAAGGCCAGTCCAGATTTTAGAAGTGAGGATATAGGCACTATGTCTTGATTGGAGAAGCTGCAAATTTACATTTTTAAAAAAATGTGACTACACAGAGTGAATACAGAGAATGTGATAATTGTGGCCACTTCTGCAAAGTCTGCCGTACGGTATGAAAGCCATTCATCCTGTACTTCTTTGGTCTCTTAGAATCCATTTCTATTTTATCATTGGTTAATTACAATACAGTTGACTCGGGCATCCCGGTGGCTCAGCGGTTTAGCACCGCCTTCAGCCCAGGGCCTGATCTTGGAGACCCAGGATCCAGTCCCATGTTAGGCTCCCTGCATGGAACCTGCTTCTCCCTGTGCCTGTGTCTCTGCCCCCCCGCCCCCCCCACCGTGTCTCTCATGAATAAATAAATAAAATCTTTAAAAAAATACAGTTGACTCTTGGTCAACGTGGGTTCGAGCTGTGTGAGTCCACTCATATGTGAAGTTTTTTCAATAAATATGGTACTATAAATATTTTTCCCTTATGATTTTCTTAACATTTTTTAGCTTACTTTAAGAACAGAGTATATAATACATATAACATACAAAATATGTGTTAATCAACTGTTTATGTTATCAGTAAGGCTTTCAGTCAACAGTAGGCTATTAGCAAATTTGGGGGGAATCAAAAGTTATACATGGATTTTGTATTATGCAGGGGATCCACACTCCTACCCTCTATGTTGTTCAAGGGTCAACTGTGTGTTTATACAAAAATCTGTTCATCCAGATATGGGAGTTGGATCCAAGTTCCAAGAAGTCTGTTAAAGACTAGATATTTCATTGTTTGTGGATGGATACAAGGTCATCTAAACCCCCTGTCCTTCTTTGCACCCGTGTTTGGTCACATTACTTTTATTTAAAATACCCCAAGTATACTACCATTTTAGGAATTAGCCCATTCCTGTCTTTCTGAAATGTTCATTCTCTTACCTCTTTGCTACCTCATTCCCATTTCTTGTGCCAGTTCTCAGCTTCATTATCCCTTGTTTAGAGGATGTTCCTTGATTACTCTAAGTTACATCCCCTCATTATATATTCAAGTAATTTATTTTTAATGTACATTTTTAATATCATGTGGCTCTCAATTGAGGATACTTTTTCCCTTTAGGAGACATTTGACAATGTAGAGAGATACTTCTTGGCATCATGACTGTAGTGTGCTATTATCATCCAGTGGGTAGAGGCCAAGGGTATTGCTACGTAGCCTGTTATACCAGGAACAGCCCTCCTGTCCCACAAGAAGGAATGATCTGGTCAAAAACATCAATAGTGCAGAAGTTGATAAACACTGCTGTAGATCATGTGTGACAATTCAGAATTACATATGTCTCTGGCTATCTGTCTTTCCCACTAGATGGGATGCTTCACAAGGACAAGAGAGTATCTATTTTAACATTAAATATCCAGCATCTCAGTGCTTGATATAAGGTAGCTGCACAATAAACATTTGCTAAATGAAAGAAGATCAGACAGGAGGTAAGGATGGAAGGGAAAGACTTTATAGTGAAAGTATATAAACACTACTGTGTAGAAGATGCTGTCAGGGGCCTACCTATATCGTCACATTACATACCTATTGGATGCATGTTTGCCTGACTTTCAAATGTTAGGACCTGCATTTCTTTGTGTGAGGGCTTTTATTAGGCTTTCAGAGCCCACTGCCCAATAGCATGACAGTCCAGAATGCTGGGGCAATATCTTCTCTTGGAAAGTATATCTTCTAGTGTTCCCTAAAATTTTTCAGTGATATTAAGCTGATTAATAGTGGACATTTTGCTTGCTTCCTTCCCTCCCCTGTCTCAATTCCTCACTTCCCTATTAGTTTCCTGCGAATACCTACCATGGTAGGCTGAAAAATGCTCCCCAAAGATAACCAGATCCACATCTCTTGAGCCTGCAAATACTACCTTATGTGGCAAAAGAGAAATCGCCTCAAGGATTAAGATAAGGATCTTGAGATGGATGATTATTCTGTATTATGTGATAGAATCTAACTGCAAACACGTATGTCTGTATCAGAGGGAAGCAGAGATATTTGACATAGAAAAATGGAAATTTGGCCACTGAGGCAAGATACTCTACTGCTAGCTGTGAAGATGAAGGAAGAGGGCACTGACAAGAAATGCAAGAAATGTGGCTCCGGTTGCTGAAGAAGTCCAAGAAACAGATTCTCCACTAGAGCCTCCAGAGGGACCATGACTTTGTTGGCAACTTGTTTTCAGCCCAGTGAAACCGTTTTGGGCTCCTTACCTCCAGAGCTGTATGGGACTAAATATGTGTTCTTTTAAGCCACCAAATCTGTAGCAATTCACTAGCAGCCCCAGAAACCTGATGCAGATTTTGGTACAAGGGATAGTTTGCTGCTGTAATGAGTATATAAAAATGTAGAAGTGGCTTTCGAATTGGATAATGGCTACAGGCTGGCATGGTTTTGAGAAACATGATAGACAATCCTAGATTACTTTGAGCAGTTAGTAGAAATACGGATGTTAAAAGTGCTGCTGGTGAGAGCTCCAAAGGAAGTAAGAAGCACAGTGGAGAAAAACCTACATTGTCTTTAGAGAAGACCTAAGTCATCATAAGTACCCTAAATATGAACATCAAAGGTGTTGCTGGTAAAGGTTTAGAAAGAAATTAGGAACAGCATAATGGAAACTGGAGAAGAGGGGATTCTTGTTATATAGTAGCAGAAATCTTGGCCAACTTTTGTCCTACAGTTATGTGGAAAGCAGAACTCATGAACAGTGAATTGAAGATTTAGTTGAGCATATTTCTGAGAAAAGTATTTGCTGTTAAGCAAAAAGGAGCCAGGACTTGAAGATAGGAGCAATTCTCAGCCTATCCAGAATGCAAAAGACATTAAAATGAGAGGATTTGCTGTCAGGAAAGTGTCTTGTCGAGATAAACATCAAGCATGTAGCTAGACACATCTTTTCTCAGAGGGATCGAAAGATCAAAGTATTCAATCAAACAGAGGGCTCTTTGAAGCGATAGGGTGTGAATCATGGATAACCTCAGCCATCTCAGCAGAAGCTAGGAATTGAGATGGCATTTTCCTGGAGGGATCTGTGAACAAGTTTCTTGTCTAAGGGCACAAATCCCCATGCAGTATGGGGTAGGGAACTACAAGATTTTTGAGTATGCTAAATCAGCAAAAACCATGCTATCTTTAACTGAGAAAATAGATGAAATGAAAGAAGGTCATGGAGCTCCCAAAATTTGACAAGAGGAAAACAGGCTGATAAAACTACTCAGCTGAAAACATGTGTTCCATTCAAAATAAAAGAAAGGTGATTTTGAGGACAGAGCTGAGGGTCTAGAGGGCAGAGCTGTGGGCCAAGATGAAGTCATGGGATCAGAAGGAGCCACAAACTACAAAATATTATTCCCAGACCTTGAAATGTATGTAGGTTTGTCTGCTTGATCCACATTGCTTGAATCAGACTCTTTTCTTCCTGCTACTTCTCTCTTTTGAATTGGAAATGTCTTTTATTGTTACCGCTATAAATAAACCCCAAACAAAGCAGAAACACCAACTTCGTGGAAAGGGAAATTAAAATGAGAAAAAAATAATGGGGCGCCTGGGTGGCTCACTCGGTTAAGCATCTGATTTTGGCTTAGGTTGTGATCTCAGGGTCCTAGGATTGACCCTGGCATGAGGCTCCACGCTCAGCAGGGAGTCTGCTTCTCCTTCTCCCTCTGGTTTCTCCCTGCTCATGCTCTCTTTCTCTCTCTCTCGGTTTCTTTGTCTTTCTCAAATAAATAAAAACTTTTCTTAAAAAATGAGAAAAAAATGAGAGGAAACACCTCTTGGTGCTTTGGCTTCATTTAGGACAGCCAAGAAGACACAACTGGGCTTAAACTAAGTGCAAAGTACACTTCTCTCTCTAAACAATGTTTACGTGATTCTGAAAGATGCATCCATTGAGCATCTCATTATGACTTCCACAATGATCAAGAGATATTTTTCAAACAGGGTAAAATGAAGAGGCTAATACAGGTATGAAATAAACGTGTATTAAAAGATTCTATTTAATCAGTGAGGGAATGGGAAGAGGATATAACTGGTTCATAGAGAATCCAAGGATTAGATACAGGAATGTTAATCAAAAATATTTAAATGAATGTGTGAATGGAGGCAAAACTGGTTTCTTTATATAATGGAAGGGGGACAATATAATCTCTACTAGACAAGACATTTTACATATGTATCACTAACCTACAACTAATAAAGGATTGTAAAAGGCCTCAAAGACCATATAAGGCCAGAATCAGATAATGTAGAGTGGTGTCCTAAGACAGGGAAGAGTTTCCCATTGGAATACACATTGATCTCTACAATGTTAAAATCAAGCAGAAAATTCTAGTTCTCTCAAAATCAGGGTCTGTTCATTAGGGTGACCAGGTTCCTGTCATGGACATTTCTGGGCTGAGGCCTGATAAGGGCACAATGGACACCAGTGACATCCCAAAGTCTATGATGTCACAATGAAGGGCCAGGGCTTAGGAATATAAATGGGCGGGGTTGACCCCTGGTGTCTTTAGAGGCACAGTGCAGCTGGGAAATCAAGCAGAGCTGATGGAGCCAAGCCCGGCCAACATCATGTCAGGGAACAAAAGCCATGAGAGCTCCAATCAGACTCAAGCCCATCTTGTAACAACTGAGCTGCAGTTCCCTGTGAGCTATGTGGACCGCCTCCTGCAGGAGGATCAGCGTACCTACTGCCTAAGTTCAACATCTACTGAATTCCTCCTTGCCATGCTCGACTCCCTCACCGACTACATCCTGGAGCGTGTAGGCACTGAGGCCAATAACAACAACATGCAGACGGCCCCACAAGATGTGGAGAGAGCAGTGGGCAGCAACAGAGAGCCCCAACAATGCCTGAAGGATACAGCCTTCACTCTGTTTGATGAGATGCCTAGATCCAGGAGAAATGGCTAAAGCCTGGGTCCTAGAGACTTGTGGGAGTCCTCACAGCCTTAGTCTAAGCCAAGACTTCTTATAACTGAGAAGTCTGGCTTCTGTCATCAGTTAATGCTATTAAAGTGTTGAAGCCCAGGGCTGTGCCTCTGACTTGTCTCTGTTTCTGTCCTTCCGAGTCGGCGGGGTCTGTGAGACACCCAGGAGGAGATCTCCTGTGGGGAGTGGAGGGAGGAAGGGGTGATCAGTGTGGGAGGCTGCAGTCCAGTGTTTCAGGGAGGGGTTTCTCTGGGGACTACTTGGGAGGAAAGGCCCTGGGGGGGTGTAGCTGGCTGCGGAGGAGAGACTTCCTCACGGGCTCTGAGCAAGTCAAGGCCTGCGGGCTGAGAGGTTGGCAGCGGGTGGGGGGCTTCCCAGGCATGTTGAGTTCCCAGAACCATGGTGGTAACTGGGGAGGTCCCGAAGCTCGTGACTGAGGTGCCAGGAGCTTTATTCATGAGAAGGGAACGTGTAGAAGTCAGGAGGTGATGGCAGTGTGGGTGGATGGAGAGGGTGGCAGAGCAGTTGACGTGAACTTGACGGCATGAACTTTATGTGAAGATTGAGGGGCGATGGGGAACCCATGAAGAGGTATACAGAGTGGAACGGTGCTCAGATTGATTTCATTCACTGATCCCCTGCCTCATTCCAAAAAGGGATGTAAGACAGATAATATTAGTGCTGTGATAACATTTTGTGGAGTATGTCCTTGTGTCCTCTCCTGTGGACACTGGTAAATTAAGTGATTATATATGTATATGTGTGTATATATATATACACACATATACATATATATATATACACATACATATATATATATTTATATATATATATATATATACATATATAAACTCTGGCCTAAAACAAGCAATTTGGAGAGTTCTTAATACTTGCATGTCTCTCCCTCCCTAGTAGACCAGATGCTTAGGTGTACTTCTGCAAGTGCCCCTGTGCCTGGTTCTCCCGTGATTGCTGGGCTCCTGGACCTCTGGCTATGGAACCACAGCCCACTAAACCCTGTGGAAACACAGAAAAGTGCCACACACAGGAAGAAGCCAGAGGTATTCCTAGGAACCAGATAGGCCTCAGCCTAGTGTCTTCTCTGCTCCCCTCTATGTGGTGACTCACTTCCTCTCTGCCTCCCTCCATGGTGACTCACCTTCTCTCTGCCTCCTTCCATTATCTTTCAAAGTGTGGAGCTGTCTCTGTCTTTGCCTCCTTCACAGGAGTGTCCTGACAATAATAGGGCCAGGGTTGTGTTTAGAGCTCATTGGAATATGGGCCTGTATAAATCCAAGAAACTTTTCTTGCTCCCCTAATGCCATTCAACCAAATATTTCCAGAAGCCTCACTGTCAGGATGTCCACCCCACATAGTTGTGATTTGTTAGAGAGCCTGGAGGCCCTTCTTGCCTCTGCCAAGTTTAACTGTTACTCTTCTGTTCATCTGAGGATCAAGCAGGCCTCTCCTCAGCAGCTGCAGGTGAGATTGTCCTTCACCTGGTCACAGGAAGCACCAACATTGCTACCCCATCCCTGAAGCAGAGCATCTCTGTGTCCAGGGCATGGTGTCTCATATTCCAGTGTCCTTCAGCCAACAGTGAGTGCCTCTGGGGTGGGTAATGCCAGGGAATCAGTCATTATGCTATGATGTTGATATGTTGGTTAAGTGGCTGATTTTTATAAGCTGTTGATTTTGGCTATGGCAGTGGCTTGTTTTAGTGCAAAATAATCTCCTGGGTACTTCACCAGAAGGCGCAGCTAAGGAGGAATTCATTAAAGGCCAGAGATGTGAGAGTAGGTTGATAAATTATGTTGGCTTAGCAGACCTGTGTGGTCAGGTGGTCCCCTGCAGTCCATGCAGGAGTCGACACTGATGGTCACTGTGACATCTGCAGGGAGCCAGGCTACCTGGGCTCCTCAGACTATCCGAGGTCCTAGGTGGAGTTTGGAGTTTGAGACTTAATGACCTCATGTTGGTGAGCCCTCTGCAGCCACGGGGTCATGGGAGAATCAAGCATAGCAGTGCTGCCCTCCCATTTGGAAACAGTCCTTCACCTGTGCTTGTGGGTTTCACACGAAACATAGGGTCCATGCCAGCATAGCATGGGTGTATATGCAGCACCTTTCTGAATCCCCCTCTTATCTGGGCACAGGAATCCCACCCTCAGGGGAGGAAGGTGGGCAGAGAGAGAGAGTCATTACCCTTGGGAATGAATGAGCCATAGGAGTTTAGACCCTTTGTGCATTTCAAAGAAGTGGGAGGTAGGGGATGATGAGGAACTATTAGCTGTAGCTTAGGCCCCACACAAAGGATACCATTGATGACAAGTGCCCTGTTGGGAGTGGAAAACTAAAACTGGAGTGAGTAGGGATGGTCTGGGGAAGGTGTGGTGCCAAACCAGATTTGTGATCCAAAGCAGTATCGGAGCAGGCTGGGGTCAGACACGGCTCAGCACAGCAGAAAGTATAATGTGTGAGAAGAGATGAACCCAAGAGTTGAGCTTGAGGGGAACCTTGGAGAGTCATGTGGGCTTGGTGTTGGCATGAGCACAAGGCCTGGACACTAGGTTGGCCTCTTTGTGACAACAACCTTTGGGAACAGAGGTGTTTGAAGGCCCCTTTGTCCCTAAATCTGACAGATCTGACAGGAAGTGGTCATAGGGAGAGCACCTAACCATTTAGAAAGGGCCTTTGGAGCCCCAAAATAGGACTCAAGAATAAGAAGACTATCTATGAACATGAATAAATCATTTGCCTAAAGAACAAGTAACAAAGTGGCTGCTCACAGACATAATGGAGGCAGCAGATGGGATCATTAGGCCTACAATGATGTTTTTAAAGGAAAATTAATTAGCTGCCAACATTTAAAATCAAGAATTTTTAACCTCAAGACCTCAATTACTGGCTTCTCTGTTTAAAATAAAATGTCTGGGCATACATATTTATGTCAGATGAAGATGACTGGCTGCTGTCCCATTAATACTGGGCCTCTCTGGTTTGCTACCATGCTCACCCTTCCCTGTTATATCTCATTTATGACCCACTTCACTCATTTACAGTACTTGCCTGGCTCTTAAAGTTACTTGGGTTCATTATCCACATCATAATTTAATTGTAAAACCACAGTTTTCTGAAGGATGAAATTCTCTCCTTCCATAAATTAGAACAGTACAATGCTCTTCAAAATTGTCTTTGGTATGGGACTGATATGTTCAGTTGTACAAATTCATTGTGAAAGTATGACAGATGTTGTATTTTACTAGGACTACAATGGAGTTTACATTTGAATCTACTTGAGTTCAGCAACATCTGAACCACGATAAACTCTGTTCAGTAAGAAGACCTCAGTCACCTAAATGTTATGGCAAAACCTGATTGCTCTAGAAGTCACTAAATGCTGACCATTTCCCAACCTGCTGTAGCTGACCAGTAACAAATAATTTAATGGCCTACATCAGCCCCCAAGTCACATTTGAATAACACTGTAAGAGTGAATTTTATTTTATTCTTTAAGGAGTATGGTTTCAAATCTATGGAAAAGAATGAATAGGGCCTGAATTCAATGTTTCATTTAGTGTTTCTGCTTCAGAGTCCTTCATGAAAACAGAACATTGATCTGTCATATATTTAGCATTCTATAATCACTGTAGGGAAAGTATCTCTAAACTTCATCTATTTAAGCAAAATCTAAAGGAAACCAGTTTGCAGGAGGGAGGCAGGTTAGGTACTGTGGTTGTGGGATATTTGGCTTCTGCAGTGTAGGATGAAAGGAATTGACCAACTCGACTGTGGAGGAGAGACTGTTCATGACATACTGGAACAGAGTAGTGGCAGAAGAGGGAGGAAAGCTGGATTCTGGCCTCCCATTGCTGTGGTTTACTTGGGGGTCACATCAGCTTCTACAGCTACAAAATGAGGAGGTTGGACTAAATTGTTTCAAAGGTCTGCTCAGGGCGTACAGTTGTCAGTCTGAGCTTTTCCTAAGAAAAGTCTGTACTGACAATGGGGAAATGGGCCATAGAGGACCAGGGATGATTTTTTAGGGTCTCCATTTTATAGCTGAGGCCACTTTGGCCCAGAGATGATGCTCAACTCTCCCAATGTCGCATGGCAAGTGGGTAGAACAGCAACTATGACAGTTGTGTTCTGGTACCTATTGTTGAGGCTCCACTGCTACTGTATCCTGAGAAATGAACCTCAGGATATAAAGTGTTTAATGTTCTCCTCCAGGATAAAGGAGCTAATATCTTCAATACAGGGATGTTAGGGTCTCTTGGACTTCTAGGAAAGCCCAAGAAACAGCTTGCTCTCAAGAACTTTCACTTCTGTTTTATTTGGAAAAGGCCAGACGGGTTAGGATCAATGATTGATCTATATGGTACAGGTCTTTGAATTGTGCAAATCTAGGTGTTGTTCCACTGAACACTGTGATAGCCATGTCATGAACCCATCTCCTTCTCAAATAAGGTGTTCTCAAAATCCTCACTCTCCACTGATAGGGTCTTGAAGGCGATTATGTGATGACCTCAGAAGCCTGTGCTTAAAAGTGTTTTTTTTTTATTTTTTAGATTTCATTATTCATGAGAGACACAGAGGCAGAGATACAGGCAGAGGGAGAAGCAGGCTCCCTGTGGGGAGCTTGATGCGGGACTCGATCCTAGGACCCTAGGATCATGACCTGATCTGAAGGCAGTTGCTCAACCACTGAGCCACCCAGGTGCCCCTTAAAGTTTAATTCTGGAAGTCTTGAAGTTATGTCTTTTTTTTTTTCCTTATTTGTCACAGACAAAATCTCTGGTCTCAGTGAGGGTGACAGAACATGAGAGACACCTAACTCTGGGAAACGAACAAGGGGTAGTGGAAAGGGAGGTGGGTGGGGGAATGGGGTGACTGGGTGATGGGCACTGAGGGGGGCACTTGGCGGGATGAGCACTGGGTGTTATGCTATATGTTGGCAAGTCAAACTGCAATAAAAAATAT